TAGGGACCAATTCTATATTACAAACAATACACAAATTGATCCCTCACTTTGTGGCCACGATAATTTCAATACCTATATATTCCAAGGAATATAAATAAATCTCCAAGACATGCTTGTGTAGTTAAAAGTGTTTCATTGATTGATTCATTTTCTACAGCTTATTAAGAAACAAGAAATAATGTGGATATAACGTGAGGGACCATTTCTATATTATGATCAATATATAAACTAATCCCTCATTTTGTGGCCACTTTAGTTTCTGTACATTTATATTCCAGAGAACGTCAATAAATCTAAAAGATATATCTGTGTAGCTAATCAGTATTTGTCTGACTGATTGATTGATTTATTCATTCATTTTCAACTGTTTGTCAAACCTTTGCAGGTTATTTAAAGCCAGAAAATATTTTTAGATTGTAAGAATGTTCTTTATAGATAATAATTTAGTGATACAAGTTTCATGTGTCGGAGAGAAGCGGTTGATTCATACCTAATCAGAATTTGATATTCAAACGAAAATCTAATACGGACATAAAGTTAGAGATCAATTCTATATTACAAACAATACATAAATTGATCCCTCACATTGTGGCCACGATAGTTTCAAGACATTTATATTCCAGAGAATGTCACTAAATCAAAAAGACATGCTTGTGTAGCTAATCAGTATCTCATTGATTGATTGATTCTGTTTTCTACAGCTTATCAACAAACAAGAAATTATAATGTGGATATAAACTGGGGGTTCAATTATATATTAAAATCAGTATATAAACTGATTCCTCACTTTGTGGCCACGGTAGGTTCTATACATTTATATTCCAGAGAATAGAAATGAATCTAAAAGATGTGACTGTGTAGAAAATCAGTATTTCATTGACTGATTGAATTATTTTCTATGGTTTATCAACAAAGAAATTATAATGTGGTTATAAAGTGGGGGACAAATTCTATATTAACATCAATATATAAACTGGTCCCTCACTTTGTGGCCTGATATTTTCATTTTCATTTATATTCAGAAATTTAGAATGTAAATCTAAAAGACATGCTTAGGCCACTGTAAGAGTTTTAGCTAATCAGAGAAGGTATTTCAGTGATTGATTGAATTATTTTCTGGCTTATCAACAAACAAGAAATTCTAATGTGGATATAAAGGGGGGACCAATTCTATATTTAAATCAAATATAAACTGATCCCTCATTTGTGGCTACTGTAGTTTCTGTATACATTTTCTGCTACAGAGAAGGTAAATAAATCTAAATTCATGCCTGTAGCTAATCAGTATTTCATTGTTGACTGATTGATTTGTTTCTAAGGTTTATCAACAAATAAGAAATTATAATGTGGATATAAAGTGGGGGCCAATTCTATATTACGATCATTATATGGTACAGATCCTCAAACTTTTGTGGCCTTTATTGGTTTCTTGCCAATAATGTCCGGCCCATAGTTTCATTTATATATCTTCAGATTATTATTATTATTATTATTATTAGTTCCACCTATCGACGATTTTATATTTATTATTATTATTATTATTATTATTATTTTTTTCTTTGATTTCAGATGCAACTATCGATGATACTTATTTTCCATCACCTGGATATTGGCCAGTAGAGGTTTGTGTTCAAGGGCTTTTCTATAGACCTAAGATCAAAAATGGTTCATGAAATTTTCCCCTGTTCATTTTTATCGAAATAAAAAAAATAAAATGTTTAAATAATCATCCACAATAAAAAATAAATGAAATTTTAAATAAAGCAAACACATTTTAGATAGATAAAATCCTTCAAAATGTTTGGGTTTTACATGTCTGGCATTGGGCACCTCGAGACGGTGTTATGGTTAGCAAGCATGTCGTGCTAGAACAATTATGGCTAACCTTACTTTCTTGTCTTATTATTAATGATCTAAGGATAATCCTCATTAACGCGAGACAAAAATTCACTATCGTGCCCTACTTTGTAATGGTGTTCCAGATCTCGGTAGTACGCTTTGAAAATCACTATCGTGCACCTCGAGGTGGCATTTCGGCCTTGGTGGTGGTTTGTCATCTGGGTAGAATAATTTCGGGCACCTCGATGGTCATTGTAATGGTTAATCCCTTGTCTCGCTAGAACAATTACGGCTGGCCTTGTGAGTTACATCCTAAGGTACCCCAAAATTTTCGGCACTTGTGCCAGATCTAAGGTACGTGTTTAATCACTGCTAGAACACCTCGAGGGCTGGTGTAGTGAGTTCAACTTCATTTCTTTTCAAGCAATAACGCTAGAACAATACGGCTGGTAGTGCGTTCAATCTTTGTTGGTTTGTAATTTTGGAGTTATTCTCGTTCCTCCATTGCAATTTCGATCCTATATGGCTCATGATCTAATCTTGTTTTCTGTGAAATAATTCTGTTCGATGAAAATCACTGTGGGCAACCTAAATTTTCGAGGGTGGCGTGATTGTCATCTTTCAGTTTTTTCATTTATGACCTGAGGCTGATGTCTCGTTTCCTTTTCATGTTTTGTTGATCTATTCAATTCTTTATGGCTAATTTAGTGCGGTTATTTCATGATGTCCCTTCACTGGTGCCTATGTACTTTCAGTGTTTGCCTTGTGCCAGATGTTCTAAGCTTCATACGTCATAACAACTTTGAAAATCTTTCACTATCGGTCACCTCGAGGTCGTGTAAGTTTTGTTCCTGGTTAGTTCCCCTCTGAAGGACGGGCTCCCTGTTTATTGGAAGAAACCATACTCTTTTGTTTCTATTTTTTAACAATTACGGCTGATGGTCTTTTTACAGACAGGGTTCAATCCGTTCGCGACCTCATAACGCAGTACCTATTCACTCCTCGGCACGATTAACACCTTGAGTTGCGGGTTTGTTTTTCGGTTTTCCTTCTCTAAATGGGTTGCCAGACAGAGACACGATTGAAATCAAAGAGAATGACGCTGGTTAAAAAAGTTTAGTTTACATTCGTTTGTCTTTGCTTTGAAATTTAAAATAATTTATTGCCCACTGTAAATTCACGATATTCTTCTTTTCTTAGGATCATTTCTTTTCATAAATTCATAAAATGTAATATGTAAATGTAAATTCCGTTATTTTTTAAAGTCGTTGAAAATTATTATTATTATTATTATTATTATTTTCTTTGATTTCTGCTGTATACTTATTTCCATCCCGGTCCTTTCCATAGACCTAAGATCAAAAATTGGTTCATGAAATTTTCCCCTGTTCATTTTTATCGAAATAAATAAATAAAATGAAATAAAAAATAACATAAAAGCAAACACATTTGATAGATAAAATCCCCTTCAAAATATTTGAGTTTTGTGTCTCATTTGGGCACCTCGAGGTGGTGTTATGGTTAGCAAGTTTGTTGCAGAACAATTACGGGCTGAGTCGTGAGTACAATCCTCACTGGATCTTTACTTTGGTCTTGTTCACATCTAAAGCTACCCTTGGGAAATCGGGCACCTCGAGGTGGTGTAATTTACATGTCTGTAGAACAATACGGCTGAGTGATGAGTTCAATCCTCTGGGACATTTGTGACTAAAGACCACAAAAGAAATGTCTTTACGGCTGATACATGGATTTCGGTCTTGTGCCACATCCAAATGTAATTGGGAAATCGCTTTTTAGTCTGGTTCGTTGACATTGTCGGTCTTGTGCCACAAAAAAATCGCTTTTTGGGTGTTGCTTCAGAATGTAATATAATTTTCAAGATCTTTAAGAATTCAAAAATCTTTGGGTGTCGGGCTGACAATTCCATAGGATAAAAAAAAAACGTACTTTCTACGGAAAGTGCAGTAGCAAGACCTAACTTAGTGAATATACACAACCAGGAATGTCGCTGGTAATTAAGAGAAGGACCAGAAGGAAATTCCAGCAACTTATACATTCCAAATTAGACTGTGGCCATCTTTGTCGATCTCCAATGCATTGAGGTCCCTTCAATAATTCTAACCGGCTGGGCAAGGAGAGAACTTTTGCAGATATGACATGCTTACAGACACCAGAAATTGTAATTCGCTAACTGAACTCCCACCCAAGGAATCTTTTCTTTAATCATATCACCTCATACAAGGCAGTAAAGCCACTAAGACACAAGCGGGTTACTGAGCGGGAATCAATAAAAAAGAAAGAGAAACATTATTAAACAGCGAGAACAATAGAAAACTAATCAAGATGACAGTAGATGACGATTGATGTTACATTTAAATTTTTGAAGATCAAAGTTAGCTGGAAAGCATGGACGCAGAAGTGAGTTCCACAAACGAGAAAAAGAAACTGTCATCATAGAACTTACGGTTCGAACAAGCCATTTCAACTGGAAGCTTTATGCTAACAGTTACGTCTGTCTCACTTCTCGCTTGTGGAACTCTCTTCTGGCTTCTTACTCCCCTCTCAAATTTGATACTCAAATATATAAATTCAACGTCAATCGTTATCATCTGCCTTCTAAATCCTTATTCTTTTATTGTCCTCTCTCCTTAATAGCCGTTTTTCTTATATTCTCTAACACTCAGTATTCTCTTGCGCCCTAGTGGCTTTATTGCCTTGCGTGAGGTAAAATGATAAAAAAAAATCGTTACTTGTACTTAGGAGGTGGAAATTCCAGCAAACATATGCATGCAAAATTAGTCTGTGATCATATTTGTCTCTCTTCAATGCGATGAAATTCTTCAATAATTTTTGTGCAACCATTTCTTTTCGGAGAAACATTCTGAAGTGCAAAGTCTTGGTTGGCAGTCAGTCTAGGAGAAGGCCAACTCTTAATGAAAAAATTGGTTAGGCGTGGTTCTGACACCTTCACGGTATAAAAATCTACTTGCTACAGAAACCGCAGCAGAACCACCTAACTTAGTGAATATACCCAACCAGGAATGTTAATGATGCTTAGCGAGAGAAAGAAGAGGAAGTTCCAGCATATAAATCCAAAATTAGTCTGGGACCATTTTTGCCGAGCATCAATGCGTTGATGTTCTTCAATAATTCTTGTGTAG